TTGAATAATTTTATACAAGAAAAAAAAAGGATGACCCTTTTTATAATAATAATATTAGCTTTCCAACATTTATGAAATATAATTGTAAACTATATTTCAGAATTTAGTTAGAAGCAAATCTTATTTTAGATAACAACAATGCTTGTCCTCAGAAAGACAATAAAAAGCAGTCACCAAATTCTGAACTGGAAATAAAATAAATTTCCAATTGACTGTTTTGTTGGAATTTCAATTTTGACTTGTGCTATTTTCTACCATTTTCTGACATGTTATAATAATAAAACCTATATGAAGGGGTGTTGAAAAATTCACAGTTCAATCCACTTTTCTAAATCTGACTAAATATCAGTATTTTTTTTGTTTCATTTTAGAAAGGCTTTATTGGTTAAGCCGAACACTTTTCATCATCCCCCTTAAAAATAAGCTCAGATATTTCTAAATTACTATTTTCTGTAATATTGTACAATTCAAATATTGATCAAATATTCATTTGCTGATTGGTTACTTCTTCAAATGCCACAATACTTAAACATGCTTTGTTTTTTTTCTACTGGAACTTCACTCTAAGTGAGAGTTAGCTTCTGAAACAGTATATCAATTGCACAATTTTTTGTGATTCATCATTTATGCAGCATATAAATTATCAGGAATAAAAACTTTGCTTCATTGTACTCATCTAGTTAGCTCAATAGAGATTATCAGCAATGCCTCATGTTATCTTTAAATTTTCACCCTTTCAAAGATCTTATTACCTCCAGCTTGAAAACAGTCTAAAAGATGTCATCTTAAAGATACACTCATTTTATGGTTTTGAAATGGCAACAAATAAGTTCACTAGTAGAAATAGTAGCATTAAGAACGGGCAATGGTCATTTCAATTTATATATTCAGATGAATAGCAATATTATGTATAAGCAAAGTGATAATATTGATAAAGACAAAGTAAATGATTGCCTATTTTATCTGACAATCAGTGACTGTTCATTAAAAAGAAAACTTTCACTTGAAAGTCTCTTCACAGCCCAAACAATTATATTAACAAAAGTGATTTTTCTTTCAAAATTATTTCTGGAATAAGATCAACAAATGTTAGAGATTATTCAACAAAAACACTTGCATGCTTTGTTACATAAAACAAAATCCTTTCAGTTTCAACCAATCTTTATTGGGAATTATTTAGACAGCATTTGTAAGTTATGAAATGCTGATTTTTGTTTTTTTTTAAAGTATAAAAATAATTACGAATGCTGGTGCTATTTTATATATAAAAATACTTATGGTTTAGGTAGTCAAAGTTTGCAAACTTTTTTAAGCAACTTGTTAACATCTTTACTAGTATGGAGAAAAACTCTTTACTATGTTTTAAAGCTGGCTTCCTTTATTGAGAGTAAGAAAATCCTATACCATTTAAAAATATTTGTATTGAATTCACTATCCTTGCAACTAACAATCCACCCATTTAACCACTGAGATAAAATTACAAGGGTCTGAAAAGGTTTTTACCCAAAAGAAACAAAACATATAAGAACACAGAAAACTCAACACAATTTCTCTCTGAATTAATGGGATAAGAAGTTATCCTCATTTATACTATTCACATGCTATTGTCCTCATCTTTGTTGTTGTTGTTATCATCACAATGTTTTGGCCGTTGTGCCCTCCAATTTCCATTAGGTGTATATTGAACAGAACCTTTTATTTAAAAGGTAGACTGTTCTTGTTCCACTGCCCATGTCTAGGGACATCTCGTCTTGTTCTTATTAGTTTGCTCATTGCTATTGTACATACCCTGTTTCAATTGAGTCCAAGTACATATTGTCCGATGAAACAATAGCCTAGTAGATTAAAGCATTGGTTCATGAATTTGATGAGATAGTAATTGAGAGTTCAATCCCTGGGCCAAGAAGTGTGTACTTGGACTCAATGGAAACAGAGTGAGCAATAACTAAGAACAAGACAAGAGATCCTTTGACATGGATTGCAGAACAAGAACAATCTATCTCCATAGAGTAAACAAAGGGTTCACTTCAGAATTCCCTGTAGGTTACGTAGATTGACATACCCCTGATGATGACTAGAGAGCACAACAAAGATGAGGACAATTGCCTTAAAAATATGGTAAAATATATTGCCTTGTACTTTGTCTTCATGTTTGGGATCAGCAAATAGGGAAAGTGAAAATGACTAAATGACAAATGACATTAGGAGAAATGTCAGTTTAATTGGTTGATAAGAATAGCCCTCCAAGCTTTTATATAAAGTCAGTTAAGATCAGAAGTATTTCTATAAGACACAAAATTAGCGAAACAAAGAATCAAAACCATTATATTAGCTCCATTCTGTCCCCTTGTGTCAGTCAAGTTGGATTTCCAAAAATGGATATTGCCCTGGCATCTGCTTCTTATGACAACTGGGCAACACACCCACACTAAGGACAGTAATGGGAAGGAGCAAAAGAAACAAATTGCCAAATAGGAATTGCAAGTACTTTCATAATTTGGGGGTATCAAAACATCTCATGTTACTCACACAGGGTTAAAATAGTAAACATAACTGTCTTTTTGCTTACCCAGAACTTGCAAAGAAATTAAAACAAAATACATTCTCCTTTGCATCCAGAATGGATAAAATAAACATGAAACAAGAAAGTTTCCAATAAAGACAAAAAAAAAAAGGGCGGATGACCCCTACTGCCCTAAATCTGCTGTTGCTGATATACCTGACCCTTGAAACCAGAGATTGATTGGTGAGTGCAGGAAGAAATAAGTGGGAGAGGAAAAACAAATAAAAGCCAAAAGTGGAGAAAGTAACTAGGCACCAAGGTGAAGGTCAAGGCACAAGCCCAAGTCTCCAGAGAACAGACTAAGTTGAAAGACAATTGCACTTTTTATTAAGAGTACTGGCAATTAAATTCAACCCTTAGTTTACTAACAATTCCTAAAAAATAAGGAAACTTTGAAATTTTTACTCACTTGAAAAAAATAGAAATAATTTTGATAAGTATTTAAAAAAAAAAAAAAAAAAAAAAAAAAAAAAAGTTATTTTCTCAGGTGCAACCGGCCTAAAAAAATACTACCATCTTTAAATTTACTATGAAAATAAAATATTCTTTTTATGTATTTATTTTTTTTTTAATATAGGAAAAAAGAAAACTATGGTTAAACACATTTTTAGAGAAATAAATATGGAGCAGATGTTTACCAAGGAACACAACTAAAGCCAACTGAGATTTATTTGAATTTACTGAACTGATCTTGTTCAAATATTAGCCCAGATAAATGATGTATCAATCTATAATCATTTATATGTTGAAAATCACTTGAAGTTGTTGTTATTGTTTATGAGCTTTTTTTCTCATTATAAATAAAACAGGTCAATGAGAAGGATTACTGAAAATGGCAAATGTATTTAACCAGTAAAACAGTTGTATCTCCTTTCTGAATCTGAAAAATATTTTTTCATCATGCCAGTATTATACTTCTGGTGGTCTGATACTCTTCCTGATACCATGAAGGTCTAGGAATAAGAGATGAGTTTATTTAAACGCCTATTTTACTATTGGAATTAAAGAGAATGGATGTTAAAACTTTCCATTTTGGTTTTGGTTTGTGTTCAAGTTTAGCTCTTTATTTCAAACATGCACAGTTGATTAAAAATAGAATTCAAAGGATCCACATATAAATATCTCCTTTCAATCTTACATTGTTCATATCTTCAAACAATCTGACAAATATGTGGTAGGAAAAAAAAGTGACAATCAAGCTATCACTGTAAGTAATAATTATTATTGATTTGATTTCAGACAAACCTGCTCAATATTTATAACAATTACAGGAAAACTTAAGAAAACGGAGTTAAATATCCAATTTCTTAAAAATTTACTTTTAAACATCTTTTCAACTTATTACTACAATATCAATGTTCTAAAGTATAGTATTGCAAAATAATGCACACTTTTTATCTGTAAGTTTTGATAACATTTTCAGGTTGTTCATTTATAAACTAGAAATGCTAAAAATAAGGTGTGTTTTTGATACTAAATCATTTACTATGAATTTTTATAGAAAAAAAAAAAAAAAAAAACAGCTTAAATTGTTTTTAGAAAAATTATCAGACCTTTTTGCAACATGATTACAGTTAAACACTGAAGTCTGTCCCTAATAAAAAATAAGCTAATAACATTTAGTGTTTGTAAAAAATAGATACCAAAAGCAAGAGCCTAAAGGAGAAATAATTCAATCAGACCCAAAATACTATTAAGAACGTTGCCTAAGCTTTTACATTTTCATTTTTTTTTTTAACAAAATAACACATTAGAAAGGAAAGATTTTTTTTTAAATTATCCAACCAAATATTTTTGACATGCATTTAAAAACTTCAACAATATCAAGTCTCTTCTTAGTCATAAAATGAATAAATGTGATTGAAATCTGTTTCAAAACACAGGATTTTGTATTATAGACCTAAAAGGAATCAAAAAGGAAACTTTGGTACATTACATTTTCCATATTATTTAACAGTTGTAGGATCAGATACTTTAAAAGGCTGACCAAGTTTAAACTTTGTTTTTCTAATGGAAATTTAACAGATGAGCAAAAAGAATTAACATAAAAGATAGAATTAAATATTGTTGAAAGTTTTTTTTTTTTTTTTTACAAATGCCTATCTAGGAGATAAAGCGAAATAAAATATTAATATCTGATAAATTAACAACTAAAAGAAAAGAAAAAGAGAAATAATTGAAAATTGACTTCAATAGAGATTGTTCCTTGGTAGGTTGGGCAGTGGAGATGTGTTGAACAGGTCACAGTTGACTGCTGTGTTGTGTGGAAAGAAATATTAGCCACTGGTAAAAAAGGCTGGTCAGGTGCAGTACCTGGAAAATCAGGGAGTTTAGGAGTAAAGGGAAAGAGAGAAAGAAAGACATACAGAAAGAGAATAAGAGATGGTCACACTGGGGGTGTAGGACAGTGTTCTTGCTGCACACATTGTATAAATACCTTGACTGTTGCCATCTTGATTGTCAGGTTCAGAAGGTTTGTCTGTTTCATTCTTTTCATGTCGCTTATTGGGTCCTTTCCTCTTGTACATTATGTTGTGATGAGTGGCACCATTTCTCTGTAGGGGGTAGCAAAACAAATATACTGGATCCACACTAATGGCTTACCAAAATTAAACATAAAAGATACAAATAAAATCATGCAATATGGATTGTCCAATTCACATATGCAAACCATCCATTCAGTAATTTGTCAAATGAAACTTGCACTCATAGTTACATGTACATTTAAAGTTTTCACAATCTGTACCTTAGATTAATAGAAAAAGAAATTTTGTTTGTCACATTTAATGAAAAATATATGTTTAATGTATAACTTCAACCAGATTTATATGAAAACTTATTGAACTCCTGTCACTGATAAATATAAAGCCAACAATGTCCTTTTGTAGCCTCTTAGAAGCATACGAACAAAGTGATATTATTACAGTTAGGGCATATAGATCATAAAACATCAGATCATAAAAGTTCATAAAAATTATATATATATATATATATATATATAAAACTGTTGGAAATAAGTATTTATAATAGCTATACACATTAAAGTAGTAATGGCTTGAGGATTATCAATACTGTTCATGACTATAGAGCAGATATTTGTAACATTTTGATTATTACAGGTCAAGACTAATTACAAGAAGCAATGGCTTTGTTCATTTTTTTCTAAAATTGGTTATTCTCCAAGAATAGGTAAAATGTTGGCTTACATCGCTTAATATTCTGAAGTAATTGGCATGACAGTAAGGACAAAGTTTAATGTTTCTCAATTCTATTAAAGACAGAATAAAAAAAAATACTTACTATATATACTAGAGGATAGGTTGCACTTTTTATTCACTAAAATTTTGATAAAAATCATGGGTATAACCTATCCACTCGATATCATAGAGACTCTGAATTAGACTGTGGCATATCAGTAGCCTAGGTGGGTACCCTGGGCTTGAGCATAAGCAATAGCAAGGGAGAAAATGAATTTTTCCTGATATTTTGATTTTATGCAATCATTTCTTCCAACAGTGCAGCATCACACATGCAATAAAAGCACTTAATCTGCACTGCTCATATTTACCATTTTATTATCTGATTTACAACAAAAGACAATCATTTTCAAGTGATTTTAGGACTGAAGCAATTACTAGTATCTAAATTTTTGCCAAAACAGAGTAGCCCCGCACTTAATAAGTAAATACCACACAATTACAAACAATCACTTTTATGTTTTAATATATGTAAGGAAAGTTTTGGAATAAAGGTGAATATCTGAAAATATTAGTTATATTAACATTAAAAAGGGACATGTAACTCCCCAGATTATAATGTGACTTATCTAAAAGTCAACTGCAAATACCCATTTTGACAAATCCAAACTAAGGGTGCAACCCATATATAAGTATATACAGTATTTAAATCAATGTATGACTTATAGTAGCACGGAGAAGAGACAAGTGTTTTAATAAAACAAATAAAGTTAGCAATTTTATTCTAATATTCTTTTTAAGATAATCAGTAGATACAAGAGAGACTACAAGTGTTGTCAGAGGTAATGAGTGATAGAGAATATGTGGCATCATAACTAAATGCAATACTAAAGTCAAAACTAAGCAGGTTCCTTTGTAGGGATTAAAACCAATATAAATACAGATAAACAGTTTTATATTCATCCTTGCTTTGAATATTACTGCCACATCTGGTCTGGTGCTCCTGCTATATATTAAAAGATTCTTGATAAAATCCAAAGAATAATCTGCAATGTTATTGGTCTTGACCTGGCATCTGAGTTTCAGTCACTTTCCCACCACCATAACATAGCTTCTCTGTGCCTTTTCTATAAATACTTTCATGGTAATTGTTCTGATGAACTTTCATCTATGATACCTAGACTTTAAGCACAGTAGTAGATTGGCATCAGTTACAGTTGAAATGGCCACTACATGTAACTGTAAGTTCTATGCTAAGAGTTTCTTCTATTGCACTTCTTGCCTGTGGAACTCTCATACAATGTATTGCTTCCCAGTCAATTTTGATCTTCAAAAATTCAAGTGCAATGACAGTTGTTATCTTTCACCTTCTTCATTCTTGTTCTTTTATTGTCCTCCCTCTTAATAGACTTTTTTCTCATATTATCTAACATTCATTAACTCCTTGCATCTTAGTGGCTTTATTGCCTTGCTTGGGATGAAATGATAAAGAAAAGAAAAACTGATCATAAAGCTAAAACTATTCAATCACCATAAAATGATCCATAACATCATCAAGTCTTTAATGTTCTATTAAAAAAGAACCATGCCTCAATTATTTTAAACCAATCTCTGTAAGTGTTGGCTAGGTGAGCTTCATTACAAGATTCTTGAGAAGATGTAGTAAAAATTAATTCAAGCCAACACAGCCTTTCTAGAGTCGAATAAAAAATATATCTATTACTTCAATCACCTATATGATTACCTTAATAATAAAGATGAAAGATTTTTCCTTCAAAAAAGAAACAAGATATTAACTATCATTATTATTTTAAGAGATTTGAATTATATGTGTATATGAAACAATTTTTTCAGTAAACTAAATGATCAATGGCAAGATACCATTGATGAAATGTCTTTTGTCCCCAAAACCAACTTTTAACTATAGACTGACACCAAAGTGGACATGCTTCCTGTTATTGATAAACTTCCTATTTCTGAAACTTGACTGCATGCAGAATAAAGTAGTTTTCAAAAGGCAAGGAATTTACTTGAAAAAGAGCCAAGACCCATTGCTCTAAAACGATAGATATCTGGTTATGACATTGGGCATTATCAACATTTTACTTGTCTACTGAGTAGATGTAGTAAAAATGAAATCAACTAATTCAAATCTAGTCATAACAAGTGTTCACTATAAACACTAGGCATCAACACAAAATGAATAATTTACAAAACAATATTTTCTATTGATATTTTAGCATTTTAGTGTTATTGTAGATTTGTAAGTTCTAAAAGGCAGCATTTGTTTTATTATAATAATCAGTAAAGATTTTAAGGAAAAATAAAACAATAAATAGTAAAACAAACTTACATTACTTACTTGGGTGGGTTCCTGATTAGATACTGAAATTAAAATAAAAAGAACAACATTAAAGGAAACGATTCAGGAAGGGGTTAAGGTGACATTAAACTGAAATTAGTTTTGATAATTATCAACTCTTAACAATTGCAGCAAATCAAATTTTAAAAACTGTCACATAAGTAAAGCATTAAGGTGGCTTTGTTCATCTTAATTTCAAATCTGTAGTGACAGGTGAGTAAAGAATTAACAAATAAATCTCCTGATTGGAGAGCAGATAAAGATTAACATTGCTTTCAAGTAGAAAAGAAATGATCATCAGATTACAAGCAGAGGAACAGAAGAAAAAAAAATCTTGCATTCACTATCTTGTTTGACTTGATTTTATTTTCATGCACAAAGAAAATATTTTGAAAGGCCATTCATATCAACAGAGCTTAGAGAACTCAATACTACAATATTATATACCTAGTCTATATTTGTTTTCTAAAGCTTTTAATGTTACCAATGCAATTGTCTCCCTTGTACTAATGACTTACTTAAAAACACACAAGAACAAATTAATAATATACATAGCACAGCATGCCATTTAGGCAACAGTGTTTTAAAGGCTGATAGGTGAAGGGTCAACACTCTACAATTGACATCAGTATGCATAATTGTTTTTAAATTCTGAATTTGCTTTCTCTTGGACTGGCTGCCATCCAAGGCTAAACAGCCTAATCAACTTTGCTATTTAATATACTGTTGGAAGGACAAGAAATGGATTCGTGCCTTTCAGAAGTGAATGTAACTTTGTTCATTGATTCCACTTTGTGCTGATAACATCTAGGCTAGCTGCACATCTCTTCTGATAATAGTAATACCATTTTTTACAGCATGAATAAAATAATAATAAAAGTTATATTAGATATTCTTTTTTTCATAATTTTACTTTTATTTTCAATATCTGATTTTACTGTTATTAGAAAAAAGTCTTTTTGTTTCAACTTAAAAATTGTACCCTGGGCAAAAAATAAGTGGTTAAATTTGAAATGAAGTTATATATTCATGAGTGCTTACAAAAATCAATATCACAACGATTACTGTTACATTAAGTTTGTCTTCACAATTCACCCCTGAGAATGATCTCTGAGGAGATCAAAAGTGCTTGGATCAACAAAAAATATGGCACCTACTTTGATGAATTCCAACTTAACATCAAGAAGATAATTAGAGAACTAGAAAGGGATTATTATAAAAATAAATAGGCATATATAATGGATTTTTTATTTATTAATTCAATATTTTTATCACATTAAATGTTATTTTTAATGGATACCTATATTTGAGTAGATGTTCCATTTATTTTTTTTAAACAGTATTTTATTTTCATCTATCATCCAGAATATTTGAGAAATCTTAAAGAAATGGTTTCTCTAGTAAAGGGGGATGCAGGTTTATATCCTGTCAGAAAACACATTCCTTTTAATAAGATTTCTCGAATATTCAGGCTGGTAGACTACAATAAAATACTGTTTAAAAAAATAAATGAAGTATCTACTCAAATATGGGCATACACTAAAAATAATGTTTAAAGTGATATATATATATATATATATCTCCCAATACAAAGCTTAAGAGCCACTCAAGGTAGAGGGTTGCTGAATAAGGTGTGTGATATGAATGTAAGAGTAGGAAGTGAAGATTATGAAATCATGGAAGATAGGTTAACAACTGACTCTTGACTTGATGTAGTTAAGATTGTAGTGTTCGGAGAAGCATCCATGTTGGGGGTCTGTTCCCAAAACAGCAGTTCGTTGTCAGAGTAGACTTTTTTTCTTATAATTGGAATACAGAGGGAACAAGGGCAGTTTGACTCCATAAACATAATATGGCAGCTAAAAAAGATGCTTATACAGAGTGTGGCAGAAATACTTCCCACATAATGGTAAGACATTAGTGGCAATTGTCTTCATCTACCTAATGTCTTATCATTATGTGGGAAGTATTTCTGCCACACTGTATTAACAAACCAAATACTGAAGACAATACAAATTCAATCTAAAAATTTATCTTACAAGAAATGCTTAGTAAAAGAGGAGGAGGCATGTGTCATGTGCAAATAATAAACAAAGTGGCTAATGAATAAAAGGCAAGCGACAATAACAAAGATGGTATAGAATACTCACCAGGGACCCATTTGTACAGTTTCATGGTTGTGTCTCCAATAGTCACCCATCTTTTTTCCCTAGAATCAGAGAATGATTACAAAAATGAAACCCTATTAAAAATAAATTCTACAATATACAAACAAAGCAAGTAAAGACATATACTAGGTCCTTCCATCCACTTTTGAAGAAAAGACAATATGCAAAGAAAAAAAATAAAGAAAAATACCCAAAACTTGTAGAAAAAAATCAGTTAATTATCATAATCTTTGTGCCACCAGTAAGAACACTGGAGAAAATTGATATAAAAATGATTTATGTATACTATATAGAAGGGATCTATCTGAAAAGGTTTTTAAACTATAAAAAAAATAGTGTGATGTAATTTTCATGAGAAAATGCTTAAGCAAAAAACATTCAGATGTTAAAAATCAGTGAATTATCAGATTTAAATTGGACATCTATGAAAGAATTTATAAAAAAAAGTATTTAAAAATAGCTTATAGAAATAATTTTTTTAAGTTCTCTTTATTTAATTTCTTGAAATCATGGCATTCTTTACTTCAGGTCAAGTCATAATGCAACTGAGGGCCAAAAACAAGGCTCTATTTAAAATCTTGTAATTCCACATGGTTTGGATTTGTGGTAGTTTGCTGTTGTAGCTGGCTAAAGAAATATTTGCTTTTTAGACTTGGATTAACTTTAGTTTATTTAATAGAAGTAAGTATAAGATTTTTTTTTCAGACTTGCTATAGCATCTTATATTTATTGCAAAAACAAACCTTTTTGTGCAAAATTCACCAAGAAAAAAAATGTAATTTAGGAATCTTGGTTTTGTTACTTGGCAATTAATTTAATATTCTTCTCTATTAAATTTTTAATTATAAAAGCGAATACACTAATAATCAACTTTATTTTATTTATTATTCCGTGTAATCTGTATTTCTGTTTTTAACAAGTAAAAAAATTATGTTGAATTTTTACCACACCTCTTACACTGTAATATTTTAATTTTACTCGATTTAAAGAAATAATTTATTAATCCAATTTTGTTCTCATCTTTCTTCTTACAAATTTTACAAAACTCTCACGAGAAACTTACTTTAATAATGTTTTATGTTTAATTTTTAACAGATCTTTTTTCCAAAGACTTTCCTTTATTCTCTTTTCACACTGTGAAATTTATTTTAAAATACAATTGTCATATGAAGTCAATATTTTTCTTTGATATTGTTATTCATAACAACAAATATATTGATGAAAAAATGTTTTCTTTCTAAAAGCTATTTCAAAAGTGCTGAATTTTAGTTTAGTTTACCATTAAAAAACATAAAATAGGAGCAAATGTAATATTTTTATGCTACAAAATTACTGAAAAATTAATTTATTTAAAATACTGTTAGGTAACCTTAATGTCATATAATTAAATTCAATAAATTTAATTTGATATCTTTTGATATTGTAAGCAAGGTATACAAAATGTTTACCCTAACCCTGCCATTAACCACCAATTTTTAAGAGCGAATTTTTTTCCCCCTAGGCACTTCTATAATCATATAAAAATGTATATTTATGCCAAAATAAGTTAGCATAATAATAGTTATATATTAATTGTAATAAAACTTTAGAAAAGAAAATGAAGAGGACTAACTTTCTGAGGTATATTAATTCGACTCTTAATTACTTTTTTTTTCTTTAAATTTCTTAAGCTGACTACATCAGTGAACTCCTATAAACAAAAAAGTGAAACTAAAAGATCCTCACTTCCAGTGGGATGAGGAGATTTGAAAAAGGCTTTCAGTACTGGCCCTCAATTGCACTATGAGTTGTCCTGAATTAAAGAATACCATGCTTGAAATAAATATCTTTTAGATACTAAAAATATTTATATTTGTATAACTATTAGAAGTTAAATCAGTTGAAAATTTATTTGAAGCTTCAAGTAGAAATGAAGAAAATATGCCCTGAATCTGAAAATAAAAATTTATTAATGCTTTCAAATTTTTTCTTTATTTTTATTGTTAATGTTATGAAATAAAACTGTTTTAATAATCAAGAAATGTAAAGTTTAATGAAATCCCATGAACTGGAAATTTTAATTAGAAAATTATATAATTGGTATGTATTAAGATTAGGAAGAAAATAAAACTATTTTCTTGGTCACCCTTGGTACATTTTAGCATACAAGCTTCTGTATATGCAGAAAACCGTTTTTTACCATTTTGGACCACTAAACACTTCCATGAGACACTAAATCTGAGTACATTTTCATCAATCAAAATTTAAGTAATTTTGGACAATATAACAAAAATCACTTCTAAAACCTGCTTTAAATATGCAAAAGTATTTTTTTCTTTTTTATGATTAAGTTTGTGCTATTTTCTTGCAGTTAAAAATCTTCATTTAAGCACCAAAGAAGATATTTAAATTATTGCAATATGTTTAAGAAAAAGAAAAAAATAGTTGAGATACCAAAGTCAGGGTTTTGAACATTCATAAATATAAAGGCTATTTAGAGCAAAAAATTTCATACTGTATTAACCATTCACTCTAAGACTAATGTTAATGATTTCATTATGAACAAGACTGTATTCATTTTTATTACCTTTTGTAACCATATAGAGTAAATATTTGTTCCTCTGAGTAGCAACAATTAAAACCTAAATCTCCAATGAATTCTAAGACATCAATAATAAAAGCCAATTCAGAAAATAAAATCATTTACTATTATAAAGTGTAAAATAATTTTTGAATGATTTAAATTTTCAATAGAGAATTAGAATTCACATTTTATTTTCTTGCAGTTTTTCTTAGTTTACTCACCACCAACTTTCTTACTGTACAGAATTCACTTTTTTCTTTTTCATCATTTATTCTCACGTTTATTTACTCCTTCATTTTTCTTTTATTTCAACTTCCTTTTCTACTCTTCCTCTTCCCATTACTCATCAGGTCTCCTTTTTTTTTCTACCACACTTTTCTTCACTCTTAATTTATTTGTCTCTCTCATTTTCTCTCTACTTCTAGCCTCTTCCTATATTTTTATTTTAACTTCCTCTTCCATATTCCCAGTTTTATTTTTTTCAATTACTCACTTTCTTTTTATTCAACTCCCTTGTTCCTTTCTCAATTTCATTTAATCTCCCCATTTTAGGTTTTGTCTTGAATACAAAGGTTTTCAATTGTTCTATAATGTGTTCCATTATACAAACACATAAGAAACAAGTATAATACTCATTACCTTAGAGATTTTTATTTAATAATAAAAACAAATAACCTCAGCCTTCTCATAATCTCAATGGAAGTCGCTGATGAAAGATTGATGGAAATGAACAGAAAGCCTCTTTCTTCTATGGCAGGCTGAGAGAAATGGCTCCAGAGCTATTGTGTATCAGCGACCAGCAGACAAAATAATCAATAATCTACTACTGCCTTATTTTAAAAAAAATTAAACTCTTCCAAAGCAGAACCTAGCTTAAAAAGTACAAGAGTGCTGAAACTAGATATGTAAATTGAAAAAGAATACAAAAGTATCAGCTGGTCAACAAAATTTCCAGGCAGAAAGAGGAAAAAAAAAAAAAAAAGAGGAAGAGTGAAGTTATTTCCTCACTAGCATCATGCATCTCTCAACATAAAGGCCTCAGGATTCTGCAAAGCTGCGCGAAAATCAGTGACCTAATAATAACGGTCTGAGAAATCAATATTGAAGATAGATTGAAGCAGAGAAGTAGTATTATCCTTGTGTAGAGAAGGAAAAGCTGAAAATTCACAGTTGAAACTAGAGAAAAGAATTGGTCACAAAGTAGCAAGTGTTCTGATGCAAGAGTGTTACCAATACATTAACATCTATATGGGTCACAATCCAAACAGCATTTGTGTTTAGAAAGATTCCTACATTACAAAATAAAAGCAGTATACAATGATCAACGATTTTAGAGTGAACAAGACTGTTATGAGCAGAATAGAATACATTTTTATAGGGCCCTAAATTCAGAGAAATATTTGAATGTGAATAGATTTTCTAATAATCTGTATTAGTAATTTAGCATCAAGTGGCTTCACAAAACTAACAAAAGACAAAAAAGTCTTTTTGCCACTTTCTGCAAAGATGTTGACATTAAAAGCAAATATATTTTGTACTGTGTTTCTATATTTGATAGCATACAGGGGAAAATGTACGAGTAAAGAGGGTATATCAATAATTCTGCAACCTAACACAAACTATTAGCTGAATTTTGATATGAAATGTTCACTCTATAATGATGAATTCATATGATTAATATTTAATACCAAATTCAGTCAGTTATGTGCCATGCTTAGACGATCATGTCTCTTTCGATACATCATGTCTGATGAGGCAGATTTTTCCTGCAGTAGGTTGCCATTTCTTTCTGCAGTAAACCAGTTGCCATCCAAGGCTATAGAACCCAGTTTGTCCTGCCATTTACCAATAGCTGGGGGGAGAAGAAGAGGATTCATACCACTCTCAAGGGTATTAGCTTGTAAGTGAATGTAATGGATTCAACTGGAAATCGAACTTGGCTCTCGAATTCCTCAATCTGAGCTGCTATCCATTACTCCACCATAAAAGTAAAGAAATTATGTAAAAAAAATAAAAGTTATGAGATGATAGACTTTAATAATGTACCTATGTAAATATAAAAATAAAAATAATATCACCACTTTATAATTTGTAGTAGAGAAATACATTTCTCTCAGGAGTCATAGGTTTGTAAAAAGGTGAAAAAATAATAAATAGGTATAGAAATGGGATATTTCAGCAAGTATAAAAACTAATTTTACAGTACCAGGTCACCTTTGGACTAATTAGCATGTTTTTAATTCAAAATCTTTGGTACTTGAAACTAAATGCAAATTTATTTAAATTCTTGTTTGGTACACGACGACCATTATATAAGCAATAATATGCCATAGAACACCATTCATCCTATTTGCCTAAAAAATATTTATGAATAAAAGAAAAATACTCAGTATTTGTAATAATATGACATTGCTTCTTTCAGTAGTTACAATGGGGGTAGGAGATCCCCAAGGTATATTCTTCTCAGAGAAGTCATTA